TAATCATTTTTAATGATTATATATATATATATATAGGTAAGAGAGAAGCTGAAGAGACTACTGAGAAACAAGTGACTTCCAAAAAGCAGAAGAAAAACGACGGCGTAGCTCAGGCTATTGTACAGAAGAAGGTTGAAGCCAAGAATCAGAAGAAGAAGAAGAAAAAGATGAAACCAGTAGCTCGTCTGATGACTCTTCTGAATCCGAAGATGTATGCGAAAATCCACTGCTGTTACATTTGTTGTCTTTGGTGTTGATATACTCTGATAGTTCACTTTTCATTGCATGTTCTGTTTTCCGTGGGCTCCTTGTAAAGTTTTGAACATTTAACTCTTTGTTCTCTTTAAGCATGTAGGCAATTTATTGACATGATAGTAAAATGAAACATATGAATGCATGTTTGTATCTGTTTTTGTCATATTTATTCTTATTTGTTTTTCGTTCAGGAACCTGCCCCTGAGAAGAAACAGCCGACTATTGCCAAGAATGGTTCTGTACCTGCAAAGAAAGCAAAACAAACTAGCAGTTCAGATTCTTCAGACTCTAGCAGCGAGGAAGAATTATCTGATGAAGTGAGAATTATGATTATGCTTGTAACTTTTATATGGTTGCAGATATTTATATATACACTTGATTTTTGATGTTCAATGTATTGGTTTTGCAGGAAGCTCCTGCCCAAAATAAAAAACCCGCAGTTGCTACTTCCAAACCATCTGTTCCAGCTGCTAAGAAAGTGAAAGCTGATGGAAGTTCAGATTCTTCTTCTGATGAGGATGATGTTAGTATTGAGGCAAATACTAAATATATAACGCTTGAATTATTATAAATCTCTTGAATTTATTGTTGAATTTTGATTTAGGTGCCTGCCTCGAAAAAAAATGTAGCAGTAGCTGCTAAAAATAGTGCCGCACCTGTTAAGGAGGAATCCAGCAGTTCAGATGAAGATAGCAGCTCAGATGAAGAGGAAGTAAGTGCTTGATTGTTGAAGGTTGTTTCTTTTCAGTTTGGTTGGGAGCTTTTGTGATAGTTATTTATGAATGTAATGTTTTGCAAATACAGGAAAAACCGAAGCCTGCTGCTAAGAAAGGACCTACTGCTGTCACTAAGAAGGAATCAAGTGATAGTTCAGAGAGTGAGAGCTCTTCGGATGAAGATGACGTGAGTGTTGGGATTCCAGCAATGTTTAAAATAAACAGATCTTTTGATTTTGTAGCAAAGCATTCATGCCTTGTGAATATGCATGCTGAAATTTGGTTTTAATAATAGACTAGGGGTCCCAATAAGACCTGCCTTTTCTATTGGTATAAAATTGATATTAATGTTTGTTTATTCCATTAACTGAATGTGTACTTGTATGGAAACCTCCTCCAAAGGCTGCTTTGCCCGCGGCTGCTGCGAAGACTAAAGCAGCATCCAGTGATAGCAGTTCTGAGGATGATTCCGATGAAGTATGATATCTCATTCATATGGTTCTTGCTTGTAATTTTCTCCATGTTCATATTTGTTACTATTCTATTGCACTGCACTAGGATGCCAAGAAAGCTTCTACTGTGAAGAAAGCTTCTGCTCCTCCTGCCAAGAAGGTTGAGGAATCCAGCAGTGATGACTCTGATAGTGAGCCCGAGGATGAAAAGGTGTGATTAAACTTTTGAATTTGATAAAGTGGCAGTTTCAGTTGCTTATGACTATTTTTTGTTATTGCTTCTTAAGATGCTTTTGTTTTTCTCGTATCAATTTAATGAGTTGTATGTCTATTTTGTAGCCTATGGTTGCTTCAAATGCTAAAGCTGTTAAAAAAGCAAGCAGTAGTGAAGAGGAAGATTCTGATGAATCATCAGATGATGAAGAAAGTGATGAAGAAGAAGCTCCAAAGAAAAAAGTATGGTATCTTAGGAACTGGTCTTTTTTTACTTTTGGAAAGTTGATGTGATGATTGCCTAATGTGGTGTTGTGCTTTTATATTTGGAAACAGGATACGGATGTGGAGATGGTTGATGCTTCAACGCCTGCCAAGCAGGATTTTAAGTCCGAGAAGAAAGCTGTAAGTACAAATATCCCTTTGAGTTTCCTTCAAGTGTAACCTCAATTGCTTGTTATTCATAATTTTTTGGAGCTGGTCTGAATCTGATTGTATTTTTTTTGCAGCCCCAAACTCCTGTAACTCCTCAAGCTACAGGATCTAAGACTCTGTTTGTTGGGAACTTATCGTTTCAAGTTGAAGAAGCCGATGTGTATGTTTAGGTTCTCTGATACCTCTAAATTGATTGTTTAAAAGAAATGTTTCATCTTTTCTATTTTTATATCGTAGAAAGAATTTCTTCAAAGATGCTGGTGAAATTGTGGAAGTCCGTTTTTCCTCTGACCCTGAAGGCAACTTTAAAGGCTATGGACATGTTGAATTTGCTACAGCAGAGGCTGCACAGAAGGTAGATTTCCTTGGTTTTCAATTTTGGATCGTACCTGGATATCTGGTGTATAAGCTATGTTCTGTTTATGTAATCTGCAAGTGACCAGTTAAATGTTTTCATTTTGACTTTTTTTTGTATATATAATGAATTTGGAGACGGTTGTGAAGTTATTAGCTAATATCGTGCAGGCGCTAGAGTTGAATGGTGAATATTTGCTGAATCGCGCTGTTAGACTTGATTTGGCTCGTGAAAGGGGTGCATATACACTGCACAGCGGGTAATTTCCCTATCTCACTACGTGAGTTGGTTTGTGTGTGTGTGTATATATTGGACCCTTGATCTAGATGTAGCAATATAATCTATTTGATGCTTTCAACTGATTCTTCCACCTTTGCAGCAATGGGAACAGTTCGTTCCAGAAAGGAGGAAGAGGTCAATCTCGAACAATATTTGTCAAAGGATTAGATCAATCTCTCGACCAGGACGATGTTAGTGATTTGCTTTTAAGTACCAGTTTGTTGTGGCTCTCTCCTTTCCTCCACCTGGGTTTTGAAATTTATTTGCATTTATATTTGTTGTGTCCGAAACATTTCCAGATCAAGAATTCCTTGCAAGAGCACTTTGGTTCTTGTGGTGAGATTTCTAGGGTGGCGATACCGACAGATCGGGAAACTGGTGCCGTGAAAGGGTTAGTATCTATTGTTGCTGTAGTTTTAATTATTGGATGTATTCTTGTGATTTTTAGTGGTATATCTGATCATATGAAATCAATTTGCAGTTTTGCATACATGGATTTCGCGGATGATGATAGTTTGAACAAAGCTCTGGAACTTAATGGATCGAAACTCAATAATTATTACTTGACCGTCGATGAGGCAAAACCGAAAGGTGATTTTAGTGGTGGTCGGGGCAGTGGAAGAGGTGGAAGGAGTGGTGGATGGAGCGGAGGAAGGGATGGTGGTGGTCGTGGAGGTCGTGGTGGAAGGGACGGTGGCCGAGGTGGTAGGCACGGTGGTGGCCGATTCGGTGGCGGTAGAGGTGGACGTGGAACAACTAGTAAGCCAAACCTTGCTGCTGCTGGCACTGGTATTTTCCCTCCGGTGCCCTTTTTTCTCCTGTCATTATTTATTGCTAATTTATTTAACCAATTTATTAAAATGAAATGCAGGAAAGAAGACTACTTTTAATGACGGGGATTAACTGATGAAGCGTGGAGTTTCAAATGGAGAAATGTTTTGGTTTAGGGTTAAACTCAGTTTTGTTGTTTTCTTTAATTATTATTATTATTATTATGTCGAATTTCTCACAATTTTAAATGTTTTGTTTGTTAAGTAACCAGAAATTTAGCCTGCCATTTTGATATTTGTACTATTCGGTGCCCTACACGAAAATTATAATTTATTTTAAAAAATTAAAAAATATAAACCTGAAATTCTTAATAATTTATTTTAATGATACACACCTAAAATTATTATTGTCAGAATTACATATAATCGCATATAATATTTTATTGTCAGAATTACTTTTTAGTTATAATTATTAAAACATAAAATTAACATTCGAAAAGAACATAATTTATTTTTAGTTATAATTATTGGATATTGTTTTATCAAGTTTACTCATTATTAAAAAAATTATAAAATATATTTTAATTATAAAATATTATTTTACTGAGTAGCTACTAAAATTTATAAAAATTATTTAACTATTTATTATATTATAAATTATTCATATTTTATTAAAATTTGATGGTCGTTTGAGTTGATATTAACATAATGATTGAAATATAGTAGTTGTTTGATATTTTAAAATTATATTTTATTATATCATAGTTAGTAGGTTAAAGTCAGTTCAGAATAGTCTAGAATGACAATTTCACTCGTATCGATGGGTTTCGATCCAACTTGATCGGGTCGGGTTGGATTTTTTAAGGTGTAAAATCGTGTCGGGTCTGATTTTGGTGGAAGGTGAAATAACTCTGACTTGGTCGGAAGATAATAGTGTAATTTTCTTATTTTTAATTAAATCTTTAATTTGTACCGCATCGAGTCAGATTTATATCTAAAATATCGATAAGGTTGGATGAAGGATATATATTTTTCGAGTTGGGTCGGGTCGGATTTATACTCTAAAAAATCAGATCGGGTAGGAATCAGATAGAGGATATATATATTTTTTGAGTCGGGTCGAATCGGATATAGGATATAAAGTTTTTTATTCGGATCAGGTTTGGGTTGAAAATGCATATTTTCAGATCGGATCGAATTGATAAAAAACCCTACCCGTTGACATCCCTAGAATACTCTTAATTTTTCAACAAAAAAAAAGTGAGTTTGAATTATAATAACTAATCAGGTTATCATTTTATAACTTTTAATAATTAAAATATTTAATAAAATAATATTATATAATCATAAAAACATTTTATAAATTTTAATAATAGTAAACTTTAATAAAATAATATCTCATAATTAAGATATCATTTATGTATTTTACCCTTAAATAAAAGTATACAATATCAGCGTAAACGGACAAAGCAATAAAGTAAAAGTATAAAATAAACTTGAAATAAAACAGTGAAGTAAAGCCTGGCGAGAAAACCGAAGGAGTCCTCTCTTCTCCTTCTCCTTCTCCTTCTCCTTCTCCATCTCCACATGAGAGAGCAAAAATGAAGGTAACACTAGATTCAATCACTGAACACTTGAAATTACTTTTGTCTCGGAAAATTAGCCAAAAACTAGAATTTAAGGATGGTTGACTTTTTTCTTGTAGGTTGAAGCAGCTCCTAAATCTGGAAAGAAAGGTAAAATTCTTTTGGCTTAATTCAACAGTTGATACCTAAATTATGTCATCTTTTTTATTTAACTAGCATAATTTTTTGTCAAATTAAATACTTCAAATTACCATGGTTTAGTATACCTTCTTAGTATCTAGATGAAGAAGATGATGTATTTTAGGCATATATTTTAACCCCCAAAAAATAGTTTAGGTTGTTTCTTCTGTTTATGGAACTGTGGGTTATTGTTTGACATCATTTTTATATGATTATATGTAGGTAAGAGAGGCTGAAGAATCTCATGAGAGACAAGTGGATGTTAAAAGGCAGAAGAAAAGCAAAGGTGCAGCACAGGCTATTGTAAAGAAGAAGGTTGAAGCTAAGAGGAAGAAGAAATATGAAACTAGTTCTTCTGATGATGACTCTTCTGATTCTGAATATGTATGGACAAACCCACTACCGGTTTACTTATGGTGCTACATTTGTTGCTCTTGACATCGATGTATGCTGATAGTTTACTTTCACTATATGTTGTGCTTTGAATCGGTTGCTTACATCGTTTAAGCTCTTAGTTCTCTTTAAGTATCTAGGCAGTACATTGGTGTGATTGTTAAAATGGAGCAGATGAACTCATGTTTGTATATGTTTTGCCTCTTCATGGTTATTTGTTTTTCTTCCAGGAACCTGCTCCTGTGAAGAAGGGCTCTGTACCTGCAAAGAAGGCAAAACAGGCTAGTAATTCAGTAGACTCTAGCAGTGACGAAGCTTTATCTTTCGATGAAGCGAATATTACGCTCATGCTTGTAGTTGTAACTATTTTGTATGGTTGCAGATGTTTTTATGATTGTTTAATGTTCAATGTTTTGGCTTTCCAGGAAGCTCCTGCTCGGAATAAAAAACCTGCAGTAGCTACAAAAGGTTCTGATCCAGCTGCTGTCGAGACTTCTGAGAAACAAGTGGCTGCAAAAAGGCAGATTAAAAACGTCCGTGTAGCACAGGCTATTGTAAAGAAGAAGGTTGAAGCTAAGACCACGAAGAAGAAGAAATACGAAACTAGTAGTTCTGATGACTCTTCTGATCCCGATTACATATGCAAAAGCCCACTACTGGTTGATGATTCTGATTCCTATCATGTATGCGCAAATCCATTATTGATTTACTTATGATGCTACATTTGTTGTTCTCAATATCAATGTTTGCTGATAGGTCACTTTCCATTATATGTTTTGTTTTGAGTAGGTACCTTACATGATTTAAGCTCTTAGTTCTCTTTCAGTATCTAGGCAGTACATGTGTGTGATTGTAAAAATGAAGCATATGAACCCATGTTTATATCTGTTTCGCCTACTTTATGGTTATTTGTTTCTCGTACAGGAACCTGCTCCTGTGAAGAAATGGCCCGCCGTTGCAAAGAAAGGCTCTGTACCTGCAAAGAAAGCAAAACAATCTAGCAATTTGGATTCCTCAGAGACTAGTAGTGACAGAGATTTATCCTCCAATGAAGTGAATATTCAACTCATTCTTGTAACTATTTTATATGGTTGCAGATGTTATTTTTATGATTGCTTACCGTTTAATGTTTCGTCTTTCCAGGAATCTCCTGCTCGGAATAAAAAACCTTCAGTTGCTACAAAAGCCTCTGTTCCAGCTGCTAAGACAGTGAAAGCTGATAGCAGTTCAGATTCTTCTTCCAACAATGATGTGAGTATTGAGGCTATTACTAGATATAGCGCTAGACTTACTAGATATGAAGATGATTTCGATGAAGATAGCAGCTCGGACGAAGACCAAGTAAGTGCTAGATGTTTCTTTTCAATTTGTTTGGGAGCTTTTTGTATTGTAGTTATAAATGTAGTATCCTTTCACATGCAGGAAAAATCAAAGCCTTGTTCTATGAAAGGACCCACCCCAGTTACCAGGAAGGAGTCTAGTGATAGCTCTTCGGATGAACATGTGAGTGTCGGGAGCTATGCCGCAATAATTGAATATTTGGAATGTGTTGCAAAGCTTTCGAGTCTTGCGAATTTGGTTTAAAAAATAGACTAGGAGTCCTTATAAGTCCTGCCTTTTCTATTGATATTTAGATATTTATATGATTCCACTAACTGTATGTATACTTATATAGAAACCTCCTCAAAAGGTTACTTTGCCAAGTTGTGGTGCAAATAATGTGCCTTCAGAGAGTGCAAAGGCTAAAACTGCTTCCAGTGGTAGCAGCTCAGAATCAAGTAGCAGCTCGGAGGAAGAATCCGATGAAGAGGTATGATGTCCCATTCATATAGTTCCCGTTTCTATTCTTTTTTCGTGCACACGTCTATTATCAACCATGTTTGCATCACACTAGGATGTAAAGAAGGCAATTGCTTATTTTCGTTCATCTCTTCAACCCTGTCGGAATCCTGCTGTTAGACTTGATTTCACTCATGAAAGTGGTGAATATACACCATACAGCAGGTAATTTTTCCTTGTTTCGATACATAAATTGGTACTTACATATATCTTTTATCTTTTGGACCCTTGATCTAGACATAGTATTTGATTGGCTTAATGTATTTTTTTCCTGCACTGTCTTTGCAGCAATGAGAACAATTCCTTCCAGAAAGGTGGAAAAGGTGAGTCTTGAACAACATTGATCGAAGGGTTTGATCAAAATCTCTTGGTCAGGATGAGATTAGTGCTTTGCTATAAAAGGCTAAACACCCAAGTCTGAGTAATATCTTGGGATTTTAGTATCTTGCAAGTAATCTTGTGATTTGTTGTATTCCACATCTGATCATGTGTTAGAGTTCGTGACCTGAATATCGTTCGGCTTGGTTCTACACATATATGTAGTGTTAGAGATCGTGACCTGAATATCATTCGGCTCGGTTGTACACATATATGTACCGAGAGTTTCTCGGGTGATGATGCTAAGTAAAATCTTGGTGTTCATTCTGTTTTTTTTTTCTCTTGATTCATAATTTGTTGTGATTATTTTATTCAATGTCTTAACAATATGGAATCGATTCCAGCTTTGCCTGCTTGGATTTCAAAGACGTGGATAGTTTGAACGAAGTCTAGAACTTATGAATCAGAGCTTAATAATTGTTGTCTGTGGGTGAGGCAAAACTGAAAGCTGAATTCCGGCCATGGAAGAGGTGGCAGGAAATGGTTGTCAAGGAAGAGATGACTGTGGTTGTGGAGGAAGTGATGACTGTGGTTGTGGAGGAAGTGATGGTGCATTCGGAGGAGGCTGATTCGGTGGCGGTAGACTTGACGGAGGAGGTTGAACTTCGCCACCGGGACAAGCGAGCTTGGCATTGGCAAGGAGAAATGCAGCAGCCGAGGCATATTGCGTATTGTTTCATTCGTGCACGTACATGAAACCTTCCTGATAAACCAATATTTGAACTCACAAAGATTTAGACTTAATTCAGTTAATATTGTCGCTTTTGTAACACATCCGAATCCGTGTACGTTTATCTCATCACCTCAAATGAAAACAAAAACGAATGGAATGGAATGATAACGATGAAAAACGTTGAAGGGTGAAAATCTTAAGATTTAGACTTATTTTAATGGTCCTTCGACTATATGATGCTGGTTTATTAAGTTTCTCGACTATTAAAAATTATAAATGGTCATTCAACTATAAAGTGTTGTTTTGTTGAATCCATCGATTATTAAAAGTTAAAAAATGATCATCCAACTATTCATTATGTTCCAAACCCGTCCTTTTTTTTGTTAAAAATGGACAATATTCTGAGTTGAACGTTAACTTGTTGACGATTGTGATACGATAAAATTTGATTTTAAAATCTCAAACGATTATCATATCTCAACATCCAGCTTCAACAACTATCAATTTTTTAATGAAAAAGGACGAGTCTGGAACAAAACAATGTTCCATAGTCGAAGGATCATTTTATAACTTTTAATAGTTGATTGACTTAATAAAGTAGTACTCTATCGTCAATTTTTTTAATAAAAAATGATGAGTTTGGAACATAATGAATAGTTGGGTGACTCTTTTAATAGTCTATGGACTCAACAAAGCAACACTCCATAGTCGAAGGACCATTTTATAACTTTTAATAGTCGAGAGACTTAATAAAATAGTAACCTATAGTCGGGTGACCATTTGCGTTCTTTACCCTATTTTTATTTGTTATAATTTTTAAAGTTTAAGATTTGAATCACAATAATCATAAATTTTAGCTAAATTTTGCATTAATTCATATATTGCATATAAATTATAAATTTAGTTTGCATTTTTTAATCATTTTAAGTCATTGATTAATTATAATATCTTCATATTTTTATATCATGATTAAAATTTTAACATATAAAAAATAAAATTATTTAAAAATAACTTTAAAACGTCCTGGAGTTGTATAAATAACACAAAAAAATAATTTATTTTTCCACGCTGTAATTATTTCTATATTATTTTAATTTTCACTATTTATATTGCAATTATTTATTGTCATTGTTTTCCTGGAAGCAGAGAAAACTATCTGGAGGGAACTCCCGATCCGTTTGATTTCTAACTTAATCTCATTTCACTATTTCCCCCTCTCTTTGGATATGCTGATGGGAAGAGAGCGGGGAAATAGCATCATAAATGGAGATTACAGTTACAACACGGACGGGAGTTATAGCAAATCTCGCGACGACGACAGTCTTCGAGAAAGAGAGCGATCAAGGTTCGTCGGATTCATCGTCACGACGCTATTTCCCGTTTCCATACTCTGGCCGGCGTTGCCATCAAATACGGCGTTGAGGTAACCATTTACGATTCCGATCGTTTTTATAATGCCGTGCGTGATTTTTTTCTCTCGTAAACGTGCATGTTTGTTAAATTGCTGACGATTTATTGTTTATTGTTCTTCCACTTCTTCTTTATTGTTATCGTTTGTGATTTATGGTCTGTTTATGTATTTGATGAATTGCTGTTACCTCGTGTGTTTGTGTGTGCGAATTAATCAGGTAGGTGATATAAGAAAGATGAATGGTCTGGTTACGGATCATCAAATGTTTGCTCTCAAGTCAATTCAGATTCCTTTACCAGGGCGGCATCCGCCATCGCCTTGCTTGTCGAACGGTTTCGAAACACCAGGGTATTATACCTTTTTCCTCTTAATTCTAATACTAATTGTTATGTGCACGGTTGAATGCAAAGATGGTTTCAGTGCTAAAGGGAATATTATTATCTCTTAAATAATTCAGATTCGAGCAACTAACATGCAGGATAAATCATGTTTTCTTATGATTTTGATCCGGATTGTTAATTCTGGTTATGGTTTTCTGAAACCATTGATGCAGATTTTATTTTCTTCTTTATATGGAAGAAAGTAGTGGGAAGCTTAAACTAGATCATCATATTGCAAAGAAGTAATGAAAGTGCATTCAGTCATTACATTTTCTTTTTGGCCATGAAGAAATTTTCGTCTTTTGATGTGTTCTTAATGACTATATAACTTTTATTGCTTCTTGTGTTAGAAAAATTCTTTCAAAACATGTAATTGCTCAGCCATTTAAACAAATATTCTTAGTGGATTTATAAAATCTTTTCCCATTGATTCGAATGAGCTGCCATTTGCATGTAAAAATTACTATCTGAATGTTTGATTACACCTTAGAAGGTGCTTTTCAGAAAATTACCATGTCTCTAAATCTTTGCAGACAAAGCAGTGCAAACGAGATTTGCCTCCGGATTTGCTCGACACATTCCAGTCTTTAAGGCCGAAAACGACTCCTCCAAGGGTCTCCCGTGCAATGACTTCATTGCAAGGTTTTTATGGCCTTAAACAGACAAAAATAAATACGATATCCGGAGTCTTCGGGATGGCAGTATACAGGAAAGGAGAAGTTAATCGTGTTGAGGATGGTCCATTCATAAAACCCTCTTCTGCTTGCAACCCGCCATTGAATCTTCGTCGGAATTGTAGAAGTGAAGCTAATGGATTTTTTAATGGGAATGATGAACTCAAAGCTTATATCATGTCTCCTAGAGAAGCTAAAGAAGGAGAACACGAAAATCAAAAGACAAACAGCTCAGAAGGCGGCCAAAATCCGAAGCCAACTTTTTTGCTCATACACCTGCAAAGGTGTTCGATGATAACACAAGCAGTGGAGGATTTTCCACAATAGCGTCGAAAGGCTTGGCTCTGAGATCCAAAGCAGGAAGCCGGACTAATTTGTTTGTCGATAACGAGATGGGGTTCAGCCCCACAACGACAGGTGTTGGGACGATTACGTGATTCATGAACTTTCGGCACTGAAAAAAACACCGACCACGCCATGTTTCCAAGATCCAGACAGTAGTGCTGGTTTGTCGTCCCTATGGCCAGCATCGAAATCGAGCTTCAAGCCAGATTTACAGGTACTTTCGACCACCACGATTTTTGATGGATTGTCGAATCAGGTATCTGGTCGTGAAAACAAAGCCGCACTTGATTATCTCCGGTCGCCTTCATCGTTTTCACATCAACATATCGTGTTCTTTATTACAGTTGAATCCTCTAACTGCCAGCTCTTTGAGGAGTATATATTCATATAAATACACAATTTATTTACATTATTCTATTTTATTTTAGTGTTTCATATTTATATTAGAATTTCGAACTTATTAAAAAAAGTGAGATAATTGTATAAGATGTCTCCAAACTACACCCCTATTCTAAATTAATCTTTAAACTAATAACCAATAGAAGGCAATCAAATTCAAATAATTGCTAATTGTGACAATAACAGATGTCATTAAGTAATTAAAACAAAGTATCCCCAAATCAGAAAACTAAACCAAAGAACTGCAGCAAAGTAAAACTAACAAAGCACATGATATATGATGAGTCAACAAATTTAGAAGAGGGATGTTCCCTTTCCCTTCTTGTCCCCACCGATCTCAAAGTGCTTGCACCTCTGCGTAAACCGACATCGAATCAACCGGAAATCAGCTCTTGAAACAGGCTAAAAACTAAAGCAAATAGAACAGCAGGAGAGTTTCAATGTTCTAAGTCTAACCTTGATTGGATGTTGGGAAACATGTTTGCAACCCTGACATTGCAGCCTTAGCACAATCTTCTTGGTGGTCTTTGCCTGCAAAAAGGAGCAGTCGTATAATAAAAACACTTGGGGTCTAGAGAAAGTGTATATTATCTGGGCATATCCTCTAAATAGATGAACACTTGGGAGCATGCCTATGTTGGATGTATGACCATACCCAACGGCCAACAGTCACGAGAAGTGTGGATACAAAATAGCAATAACCAAAATGAAGAGCTAAGCATACGTCACAAACTCTGTACCGGAAAATGAAGCAGAAGCTAATTGACCTTTTCCTTGTATAATTAATATTCATTTAGGGGATAAAAAAGAAGTGCCAAAAAAGTTACCTTCTTGTGGAAAACGGGCTTGGTCTGACCACCATAACCAGACTGTTTGCGGTCGTAACGGCGCTTCCCTTGAGCGGCCAAACTATCCTTACCCTTCTTATATTGGGTAACCTTGTGCAAGGTGTGCTTTCTGCACTCCTTGCTCTTGCAGTAAGTCTTCTTGGTCTTAGGCACGTTCACCTGCAAAATACCGATTCATAATTACTCAAAACACAATACAATAACCGCTTTCTGTTATGCATAGTGATCATGGTTCTCTATGGGAGAACCACCATAGCACCATCTGGCCTATTGGTCACTAAGCACAAAAAATACAAGTGATTCCATGTCATCTAGTGGGTTTTTGAGTGCTTGGAAGATCTTTGGGAATTTTTAGTCTTAGAATCAAGCAAAATTCAATGCGCAAAATTAAGAACTTTGATTATACTTCATCGAGAGTAAGGAACAAACATCATCACCACCAGAGAAATTGATCTTCACTTTGCAATAACATAAATTTACTATATACTTTAATTTGAAGCATCCTATAGCCATCCTTGCTTCACTAAAACAGAATAAACTAAGTAAACTATCATAAAATCTGGGAAATGTTTACACTAAAGGTAGATTTAAGAAAGTAATTTCGCAAGATTTTTTGGAATGTAAAAAGGAAAGCCAGATGTTCTAATAAAATAGATCTCTAAAGATATACGAAACCAAGCAAAAGAGAGTAGGTACCATGGCTGCCGATGAACCGAGAGAACGTAAGCTCTGATTTCTGTGGCGATGGTGAACTGGGAGGAAGCTAATCTAACAAATATGGTGCGAAACCTAATTAGGCTTTTAGGGTTCATTTTGGCCCAAGTAAATTTTAATTAATATATTTTTAAAACATTTTTTATTTAGGGTAAATTACGTGTTTAGTATCTAAACTATCATTTTAATACGTTATAGTACCTAAACTTTCAATTTTTTCAAAATCATATCTAACATTTGGTTTTTGTTTCATTTTAGTATCCATTGTTAAAAATTTAACGAATGAACTCGTCGACTATCACATCTATAATCATTGGTCGTCGTATTTGTCGACCGATGAAACCCAAACTTTACAGTTCGTATCTTTTTGAACCTATAAACGTGATTCTAACCTCCATTTCACTGGAAAATGCTCAATCTCCCCAATTAGATGATGATCATCCCTCGATCTCAGTCGTCAACCGTCAAATGGGTTTGAAATTAGATTATGTTGTCAACTTTTTATTCTCTTGTGGTCCACCGTTTGAATTGGTTCTCCGTTCACTAGAGCTATGCCTCATCAACCAGTCCATTAAGTTTTTAACGTGAGGTACTAAAATGAAACAAAAATTAAATGTTAGGTATGATTTCAAAAAAAGTTTATGTACTAAAACTAATCAAACCTGATAATTTAGGTACTACATATGTAGTTTACCCTTTTATTTAAAACTATTAAATAAAATTAAAATTTTAAAGTTTTTATACCATGACTCAATTTTTAAAGTATTGTCAAATGTCAATTTATTCATCAAAATTAGAAGGTAAAATACACAAAAATCCTCCGATTATAAGAGATTGTTTTATTGAGTTTCTTGACTGTTAAAAGTTACAAAATGATCTTCTAACTATAGGATATTATTTTGTTGAGTCATCGACTATTCATATATTTTAAACTCGTCATTTTTCTTTACAAAAATTGAGGTAGTTTGAGCTGAACTTTAGATTGCTAACTGAGATATGATAAAATCTGGTCACAGAATCTCAAACGACTATCATGCACGTGACTAAATTAAGACTATCTTGAAAGTTGAGTAATTCAATTGCAAAATTCTTTAACTAAACTGATAGTACTAAATTGGATGACTATTTAAGTAGTTTACCCTTTTTTAGAACGGAATATATATATATATATATTTTATCGAAATTAGAACGGAATATGATTCTGCGGATGGAGGGATTCCAATTTTGTCTCAGAAAGGTTATGCATGTGATTCACGTAACCAGATACGTGGCATAATCATAGTGAACGGGAAGATAGTTAACCATATTTACGCAACGTAGAAGACTGATGACCTTTCCAGAGCCTTCCTTGGTGACCATTGCTATAAATAAAAATTTTATCGAAATTAGAACGGAATATGATTCTGCGGATGGAGGGATTCCAATTTTGTCTCAGAAAGGTTATGCATGTGCTTCACGTAACCAGATACGTGGCATAATCAGATACGTTGACATAACCGAAGTGCCGGATTTCAACACGATGTATGAGCTTTACGATCCATCGACAGTCATGTTCTTCTTCAGAAACAAACACATCATGATCGATCTCGGTACCGGGAACAACAACAAGATCAACTGGGCTCTCAAGGACAAGCAGGAGTTCATTGACATCGTTGAGACCGTGTACCGTGGTGCGAGAAAGGGTCGCGGTCTCGTGATTGCTCCCAAAGATTACTCCACCAAGTACCGGTACTGATTGAATCTCGAATTTTGAACTCTTCAGATGTGAATCATACCATTGTTGACATTGTTGTGCTTGTTAAATGTGCATAACATAGCTTGATGGAAGAGATTTGTGGATAACATGTAATTGAGACTTTGTATATCGATCTATGGAAATATTTTCTCTTTCTTATATAAATCTCTCGTTTGTTTCTTGATGTTTTCATGAGTTCCACCATTGTCGATGCAATCAAGTACCATGTTTATGACGATGATACAATTTCTTCAAGTTAGGGGTGCTTAAAGAACATGGGTTTGGGGTTAAACTCTTGTTTATGATTGATGTTTGCCAGGGGTGTAGTACAAGGGGAACACATGTTGCAAGCATTGTTTTGAGTTGGTTGTGTTTTGGTAGAAATAAAAAGGATCAAAGATAAAATTTCCCAAATCGGTCCTTAAACTCGGACTCCATTAGACTTTTTTTTTGAACAGTTAAGTCCTTATTGGAATCCTAGTTGGTAAAAAAGTACCAAATTCAGGGACTCGTGAATCTAAAAAAACGGGGACTAAGCTGGCAAACGTAACCAAGTTCAAAGACTAACGTGGGAAAAGAATGCAAGAAGCAAATTGCAAATCATTTCTCTCAATAAAACCCAGACTATGGCCATAAAGCAGGAAAACTAAATTCCAAAGGTGGTTCAACACGAGTTAAATAAAGAGAGAATTGACAGGCATGTGTTGATACAAGTATTAGCTGGTTGTGTTTTGGTAGAAATAAAAAGGATCAAAGATAAAATTTCCCAAATCGGTCCTTAAACTCGGACTCCATTAGACTTTTTTTTGAACATTTAAGTCCTTATTGGAATCCTAGTTGGTAAAAAAGTACCAAATTCAGGGACTCGTGAATCTAAAAAAACGGGGACTAAGCTGGCAAACGTAACCAAGTTCAAAGACTAACGTGGGAAAAGAATGCAAGAAGCAAATTGCAAATCATTTCTCCCAGACTATGGCCATAAAAAGCAGGAAACTAATTCCAAAGGTGGTTCAACACGAGTTAAATAAAGAGAGAATTGATACAGGCATGTGTTGATACAAGTTATTTTCCAAATACATAAAGAGGTGGAACATTCTGCTACAAACAAGCAGGTTATGTTGTGGCTCTAGGATGATGATAGTCCGAAAATTCTAGCTCTCAAATTGAGACCTCGGCACTACAAACAGGGCAGACCTGCAGTAACACAGCATGATAAGAAACGGGTAACTTATGATGGTCGTATAAACCCGTATGACATGAACAAAAAGTTGCTTTGACGCAAAAAAGAAAGTGAAATTGGGGTAATTTGAGCTTCGACGAAAACAGCAAGAGGAAGATCCTTTATATGCAGTTTATGACATGAACAAAACGGAAAGTGCTTAAACGAAAAAATAAACAACCATACCTTGTTTATTTTCAACCAATTATTTATGCATTCAGGATGATACGAGTGCTTGCAAGAAAGCGCCGTTAAGGAGTCACCTTCTTCGTATTCTACAAGGCATACGACACACCTGAACACAAGGATACAGTTACATCTCTAATCCCTGAGTGAAAATAAGTTCAGGCATAAAAAGTAAAAAGACTATGGCATCCAAACTTACAAATCACTGCTTCCAGTGTGACTGTTCTCAGCCTTGTATGTTACGGAAGGCAAGGAGGCAACTGAATCAGCTGAAAGCCCTTTGCTCTCAGTTCCAACTACTTCACTGAGTGCAAGTAGTTCCTGAATGATAGAATCAAGCTTAGTAAGAGTGCTTGAGCAAAAAGAAAATGTCAAAGGGAGTCAAATCTTCACAGTAGCTTACCTCATAGGAAAGTTCATCGGGATCAACTTCCTCCCAAGTATCCTGCAAATGCATGTCAACAAGAGACTAAAGACTTGAAAGATAAAGTGGGAAGAAATGTTCCTCTAATAGCAGTGGGGTAAAAAAACAGATAAACAGAAACAACAGGTGAATAAATTTAAAGTCATAATCTGCTTGCTTATTCTTTGTATAGAAGTAGATGATATGAACCAAGTAATACGTAAACAACTTTCATATAGGTAGGACAACCAGGAGTAATTCCTAGTTAACAAGCTCTCCATGGAAAATGTGGCCGACAAGCAAAAAAATCTAACCATAATACACTTCTATGTTGCTCCCACTCTTCATTTTTCTTTCAAGTACCCATTTCCAACGCTCATACCGGACACATGTCTAGATATGGGTATGGGGATATGACCCTCAAAGTACATCAGAAACCTCAAAGAAGTATGAATACACCTATGTCAGGCACATGACAATGCCCAATACTCACACCTAGTCCAAGTAAATTAAGCAGTAGATACACTTATATAGAGACCGAAATCCAGATAATCTCAAACCATCCATTTTTAAACAGTTCCAAGTGCAATACCCTGCTTATGACAACTTCAAATCACTGTTTCAATATAAGAGCAAAATGGCTTTTAAGCAAAGAAGGTTACATAGAGGACAATTGGTTGAGAGATATCAATACATGGCCTATGATTGCAAACTATTTATCTGATTGAATATTTTTTTTTCACAAACAAGCCTAAAGGTTCATATAATATATATAGCAAGGAGCTCGGACCAAAAATAATACTGACAATAAGTTGTACTCCTGCAAATTAGTAAAAACTAAGTAAAGGCTCTTTAACATTGTCATATATTTGGACAATCAACAAGAATCCCATAGTAAAAAACACTCACTATATTAATCCCAGCCAAAGCCAACAATGTAGCAGTCATTTCTCTTTCTTCAGCATCCTGAAGTGCTCTAGCATAAGCCTCATCACTCGAAAAATCAGCAGGATCAAGTTCACCACTCGGGTTGTTGTCATCATCCCCATTCTCAGAATGAGCATGAAGATCAAACACATCCACATCATCATCATCAGTGCCATCATCTTCCCCTTCATCATCATCTTCGTCGTCGTCATCATCATCATGGAGATGATCAAAATCGTCATCATGTAAATAGCTTCCAGCCTCCCAACTTCCATAATCATTCCCGTCATTATTCATGCTAAGCATCATATATGCCCTTTCCTACAACACATACAAAAAAAATTACACACAAGTCATAAAGTAAAAAAAAAAAACAAAATTTAAACTAGAACACCAAAATAAAAAAAATTTTGACCTGTTCTTGGAGGGTTCGAGCAAGAGCCAGGTCAGCATCTACCTGACTGAGATTTGTGAAAGGAGTTGTCGCCTGCGATGACCGACGTTCTTCATCTTTACTTTCACTGTTCAAATTGTCGTTGTCGGTAACATTAGGGTTTGGTTCTTCGTCCTTATGTTCGGTCGACATATCGTTAGCCTCGTACTCGAACCGGCCGCCGCCGATTCCGGTTTGATGTTCCTCGTCGGAGAAAATTTCTTCGACCGGCGGTTCACAGAAAAGACAAAGAGATCGTGGGCGGTATTGAACCGGAGGATAATTGAAGAATCTAATTTAAAGATCGAGGAGAAGAGAAACAAGGGGAATGAATGATTGCAGAGAGACTTCGTTTGTTAAAGTGTTCCTTTCTTGCTTTTGTTTGATTTTAAGGAAAATAAAACATAAATGTATCTTGGAACTATATTTATTATTTTATTAGAAATTAAGATATAATTAAAAATATTATTTTTATTTTATTATTATTATATTAAGAATTAGAGTATATCAAAATATTATCTTTAATTTATTATTATTTTTTATTAATTACTTAAATTTATGAAATTTATCATTTTATATAAAAGAGTTCCATTCACCATTGTAAAGTTAATTATCGAGTCTACTTAATTAATTATGATTAGGAGAATTCGTAAGACAACTATCTATCAATATTCATCATCATTGTAATTAATATCATCATTATCATCCAACATCACTAAAACTTAATTTTAGCTAAGTTTTCTTATATTTATCAATTCCTTATCTTTTCTATCTTTATTTATCTTTTTCTTGATATTTATTATCTTATTTTTAATCCATTGTTCTTATTTTTCCAGCAACATTCCCTCCAAAAAAAAGTTAATTGCCGTCGCATACCACTTATCTATTCTCATTTGTTCTTTGATAGAGTTTAGAATTTTAGGTTTGATTCTTTAACGAGCAACGTTCATTACTCCACTGCAATCCCTTTACTCCGCTGCAATCCCCTATCAATAAGTATTATTTTATTAAGTCATTTGATTATTAAAAATTAAAAAATGGTCTTCTGACTATATAGTATTGTTTTGATGAGTCTCTTGACTATTAAAAGTTATAAAATAGTCACCCGACTATTTATTTTGTTTCAAATTCATCATTTTTCGTTAAAAATTGATGATATTCTGAGTTGAATCTAATCTCAGAATCTCAAACGACTATCATATCTCAAACGAAATGATGAGTTTGGAAAATAATGAATAATCAAGTGACCATTTTATAATTTTTAATAGTCGAGAGACTTAATAAAATAATAATTTATTTTAATCACTCTAATTTATTTTATTAATAAGTCTTATGATATGACACTTTTTATTATTATTTTATTAATATATAATTAAAATAGAAAAATAAAGTTAAAAGTCAAAGTGATTAAATTAAGAGTAATTCGAAAGCTAAGTAATTAAATTAAAAAAAATTAAACTTTAGTGACTAAAATAAGAGTAAAAACATTAAGTGATTAATAATGTAATTTACTCATAAAATGTTTAAAAACGTTTAATGATAAGGTACAAAACGAAACAAAAATATAATATTAATACGATTTTAAAAAATTTAAAATTTAGATAATAAATCAAATCAAAACTAATAATTAGATATAAAACTCGTAATTTATCTTTAATTTTAGTTTGGAAAGCCCATGGATATGCTAGATGACTCTTTGAATAAGAAAAAATGTTTCTCAATATAAATATTTATATTTTTCAGAAAAAACCCTCAGATTTCACATTTTCCATTTCACTCTCTCTCTCTCTCTCGTGAAAACATGTCGTTCACCGGGAACGTCAGCGGCCCTGCCATCGCCGTCGTAACCGATAAAGATTTCTTTTGCTACCAATGTAACCGTAACGTCACCGTAACAATATCCCCTTCCTCTGACCCTTCTTGTCCCTTATGCAATGACGGCTTCCTCGAAGAGTACGAAAACCCTAACCCTAATTCTGGCTTCGACTTCCTTAATCCCAGTAGAATTCCGTTTGACGATCCCTATTCATCGTTACCGGATCCGTTCTCTGCCCTTCTCCCCCTCCTGTTGTCGTCATCATCCCCGGCTTCCGCTGACCATAACAGCCCTAATATATTCGGGTCGTCGCGGTCAGGTCGGGATGACCCGTTCGCTTTCGATCCGTCTACCTTCTTCCAGAATCATCTTAACGATCTCCGTTCGAGCGGGGCGAATATCCAGTTCGTGATCGAGAATAATCCGTCTGAGCCGGGCTTTCGGCTTCCAGCTAACATTGGGGATTATTTCATCGGACCGGGACTCGAGCAACTGATCCAGCAGCTTGCTGAGAATGACCCGAATAGATATGGAACTCCGCCGGCATCGAAATCAGCTATGGATGCTCTACCTTCGGTGAAGATAACGAAAAATCACTTGAATTCGGAGTTCAATCAATGTGCAGTTTGCATGGACGAGTTCGAGGAAGGGACTCAAGCGATGCAAATGCCTTGTAAGCATCTTTATCATAGAGATTGTTTATTTCCATGGCTGGAATCGCATAATTCGTGCCCTGTGTGTCGTCATGAGTTGCCTACGGATGATCCTGATTATGAGAGGAGGGTTCGTGGGGCACCTGGCACTGTTGGCGGTAGTGATGGTGGCGGTAGCGGTGCTGCTAGTGGTGTGCAGAGCTCTACAGGGGATAATCGGATTGTCGAAAGGAGTTTTAGGATATCGCTGCCCTGGCCTTTTGGGAGTCGTGGCTCAGGTGATAATCCCGAGCCCAGGGAAGAAGGTTTGGATTGAGTATTGTGAGTATTCCTCTCATGCCATTCTTTGTCCTTATGTTGGTTTTCAATTTTGAGTTGTTGAATATTGGAACTATAGTTCAATTTCATGTGCTTCATCATGTACGGTGTTCAATGATGGTCAAATTATTTTACCAGTTAAATAGATTATGGTAAAGTAATTGCTTCATCATGTCCTTATGTTGGTTTTCAATATTGGAACTATCCAGGAATGTGGAGAAGATAATGAGCATATCAAATTTTTGATGTTGCTTTATTAGAGTCTTAGATGTCTTTAACTTATACAAGTTGTTACATTCAAAGATGGAAGTTTGAATAGCATTGTAGAGTTTAACTTATCCAAGTTGTTATTTATCGCCATTTCTTTGATGAATTTATTGTATTCTATTAGGACTTCCACTATTTCTTTGATAAATTTAGTACAGTACGCCAGTATCCGGGTGCAACAGTTATGAGTTATGCTACACTGGTTCCCATGTTCAAATGTGTATCCGGTGTAATTGTTGGATTTGGTGTAGGATACAATCCTTAAAAATAGCTTTAAGTTATGAATTTGGTAGTAAAAATTTTCAAATAATAAATTGTATGCATTCTTGTCTCCAAAGTTCCATACTGTCAAATGTTATGTATGTTTTGTTAGATGGAAAGATAGATAGTTTGTTTGTTGTTTAAACACTAGAATGGGAAGAAAAATCTGCAGAACTTGGGGTTTCTTGTCATTAAGTATATTGCTATGTTATGGCACTTGTGTTTGGATTCAATTGTCTGATATGAGTATCTGTTTGTCATGGGCGTGTTAGGTTTTTTCTTGTGTGTGAAGGGTCCTCAGAGGATCATAGTCCCATGTCTATGCCCGAATATAAATATTTAGAGTCATTATGGGTATGAATTATATTGTATTCCCTGCATTTTCAATTCGAATGTACATTTGTTGGATCATTTGTGTAATAGAACCCTAACCGAGATTTTGATAATTGGCAGCTTGAAATACAGTGAAACATCAGCTATTTCTTACATGAGGGAGATGGTGACAAAATAGGCTCTTTCAAATTTGGGAAAGCAGAGTTAATGTGTAAAAATGGAGAAATAAGCTTTAGTTTGGTTACATACATTTTAAGGAAGTTCTAGTTTGGTATTTGGGATTTTTACATACATTTGAACGTATTACAGCTTTGGTTATTTATGATAGTTTCATTTACTCATTTTCATTCGTTGTTGTATGGATTGTGTGGTTTATGTCATAGGGTAAAGTACATAAATGATTCCTCGATTATAGGGTATTGTTTTATTGAGGTCCTCGACTATTAAAAGTTATAAAATTATCTTTCGACTATAGAGTGTAGCTTTGTTGAGTCCCTTAACTGTCAAAAGTTACAAAATGGTCACTCGACTATTCATTATGTTTCAAACTTATTCTTTTTGTTAAAAAATTGACGGTTTTTAGTTGGACGTTAACATGATGACTGAGATGTCATGTAATATTCGTTTGAGATTATGAGATTAGATATTTTCATATCACAGTTAGCAAGTTAACATTCAATCCAAAATATCGTCAATTTTTTAATAGAAAATGATAAGTTTTGAACATAATGAATAGTCGAGTGATTATTTTGTAATTTTTGAAAGTCTAGGTATTCAACAAAGCAAACTTTATATTTGTCATTTTTTATTAAAAAAATTGACGGTCGTCTAAATCGGATGCTAATATGATGATTAGGATATAATAGTCGTTTAAGATTCTAGGATCAGATGTTATTATATCACAGTCAGTAAGTTAACGTTTAGCTCAGAATATTATCAATTTTTTAATAAGAAATGTTGAGTTTAGAACATAATGAATAGTCGAGTGGTCATTTTGTTACTTTTGATAGTTGAGGGATTCAACAAAGTAAAATTCTATAATCGAATAATCATTTTGTAACTTTTAATAGTCAAGTAATTTTTTAAAACAATATCCTATTATATTACCTTGTTTGATTATCTAGTCTTAATTAACGTTAGAAGAAGATGAAGAGTTACAATAGTTTGTCATAATTTCAAGTTAAGACAAATTTAAACACGAAATTAGTAGTATGATTAGAATTTTTAATTAAAATAAATAAATTTTTCCCTTTTTGTTCAAAACAAGTTATGTGATGACTATTTTATAAATGCAATCTTATTTTATGTTGATTTTTGTGTAAGTTACTTGATTCATAACACGGATTATGGTCGATTTTACGAATAACACGGACATGCTAAATTAAGAGTGTAGTGTAGAGTACCAACCAACAATTTGAAGATGAAATTAGTTTGAAGCTTATGTGCCAAGTTAATTGTACGGTAAAGTAAGTTTTAATCTAGGGTAAAGTGTATAAATGGTCCCATAGGGTGTAACTTTATTGAGTTATTCGACTATTAAAAGTTATGATTATAAGATTTTTTTTAAGTATGTTACTATTAGTTATAAAATGATCATCTGATTATTCATTGTGTTTCAAATTTGTTATTTTTTGTTAAAAAATTGATAGCAATTTAAGTTGAACGTTAACCTGTTAATTGAGACATGATATATTATGATCCCAATGTCACGGGTCGCGAAGTTGGGCTCGTGACATTGGTGCAAGTGTCCGACAAAGACAAGTATCATATCTAATCATAGGTTAACGTCGAATTCAAAATACTATCAATTTTTTTTAAAAAGATGAGTTTGAAACACAATGAATAGTCGTATGATCATTTTGTAACTTTTAATAATTGTAACTTAAAAAAAGCAATGTCCTATAGTCAAAGAAACACTTCATAACTTTTAATATTCAGATGACTCAATAAAACAATATTCTATAGTGGAGTGACCATTTATTTTTTTACCCTCAAATCTATAATATTAAAAAATCTATATTATCAAAGTTACTGTAATAGTAATTCTAATTAAACTAAGATTTAACTGTCAAATATTATTAATTATTTGTCCATTATTTATTACAGTAGTTTAAACCAAATTTTAGCAATAAATTGTATCTCTCGCCTTTATAAAATTTGAAATGTTTGCATTTTTTATTTTAATTTATTAAAATTTTATCTATACACAAAAGAAAAGTGAAAAAACTTTTACTTCTTAAAAATTGCATATAATTATGTTAATCAATCATTGGTAAAATTAAAAAAAATATTAAGTATTTTATTATCTATTTTTAAATGATTTAAATATAGTATAGAAAATAATTAATATTTTGTGTAAAGTACACAAATAGTCCCCTAATTATAGGATATTACTTTATTGAATCCATTGACTATTAAAAGTTACAAAATGATCTTTCGACCATAGGAAGTTGTTTATTTGATTCCTCGACTATTAAAAGTTACAAAATAATCACCTTACTACTCATTATGTTTCAAACTCGTATTTTTTCATTAAAATTTTAATGGTAGTTATGAGTTGTACGTTATCCTGCTAACTGAAATATGATAAAATTTGATCTCATAATCTCAAATGACTATCATAGCTCAGTCAACAAGTTAATGTTCAACTCGGACAATCATTAATTTTTTAATAGAAAATGATGAGTTTGAAATATAATGAATAATTTAGTGTTCATTTTATAATTTTTAATAGTTGATGGTCTCAACAAAATAACTTCCTATAGTTGAGATACCATGTTGTAACTTTAGCCTAATATTTTATATATATTACTTATGAAATTATTATTTTTCAATGATAGTGTAATATAGGGGTTTATGTTGTACTATTCTTTCTAATTTATGAAATAGGGAGAGATTTGGGTACGATTGGCTGAAAGAAAAAAGCAAAATAATGGCGTCGTCAAGGGGAGCAGGAAGCCAGCAAGTGATTAGAATGGCGGACTTGGAGAAGATGAGCTTGGATCAGCTCAAAGCAGTGAAAGAACAAGCTGATATTGAAGTCAATCTATTACAAGACAGCCTCAACAACATCCGCACCGCCACCGGCCGCCTAGAGAACGCCTCCGCCGCCCTCCACGAGCTTTCCCTCCGCCCCCAAGGTCCATCCTTTATCCATCTTCTATCAAATCACCTTATTTCATTTACTTTTTCTAGTCACACAATATTTGTTTTGATACTTTTTTTATCTTTAGGGAAGAAAATGTTGGTTCCTCTCACTGCTTCGCTCTATGTTCCGGGAACACTCGATGATGCCGACAAGGTTCTGGTTGATATCGGCACTGGATACTTCGTTGAGGTCTATACTTTATTGTTTATTGATATGATAATTTTTCTCTCTGATGTATTGCTTTCTTCAATCAGCTGGAGTATGATCTAATTGTCGCTTGTTTGTTTTGTATTGAAATTTGTTTTTCTTTTTTCAGAAAACTATGGGTGAAGGCAAAGATTATTGCGAGCGTAAGGTCAACTTACTGAAATCCAATTTCGACCAACTCATTGAGGTACCTTTATTCTTGCTTTAGACCATCACTCTTTTGATGGAAGGAAGTATTTTATTGTAAGAATTCTATTATTCCATTGTTAAATTTGATGGGTGCTTGTTAGTTTTTAAACCAATTAGATATCAGCTATTAAAGGTGGATTGATGAACTAATTAGACAAAGTTTTAGGATTCAATAGTACTTTTAAGTTAATAGTCCACTAGATTTGATTGCTTTAAAGCTTCTTAAACCGATGTTGTTAAATGAAAAACCTCACCATGGAGAAGGAAAGGTCACCTTCTCTTCTGATTAGTCTGGTTCCATAAACTTGCAGGTGGATACATTCCTTGTAATCTCTCGTTGCTGGATGGTACTAATCTCTCCGGCATTGGTATCCACAAGTAGCTAGATATCACCTCTTAAAGGTGGATGCATAAACGACTTAGAGTAAATCCGAGTTCATGGGTAGTTGTAATTTGTTCCTAGATTGATTGCTTTAACAGATTCTTTGACTGATATTGTTAGATGTAAAACCTTACCATGGGGTAGGAAGGATTCGTCACTCTTGTGATTAGTTGTGTTTTGTACAGGTGCTAGTCGAATGCATGTTTGTAACTTTTTATTGCAGGGTGATACTAATTATGGCTCTCTTGGGGTAAAAGGAAAAAAATGTAACTAAAACGCAAAACACTAGAGTTTAATTAATCAAGTCGAGATGGATTTCCTTCACTTTAATATCCATGCTTTCTTTCGGCTGACATGATTATATTGCCTATTTTCTTCGAATATGTTTTTATTGTTAAAGATTGCTTCCCGTTTGTGGTAATAGAACTGTCTAATTAATGTGTAGGTTGCATCCAAGAAGAAAGCGTTAGCTGATGAAGCTGGAGTAGTTTTACAAGCAAAAATAAAGCAGTTATCTCCTTCAAGTTAGGAATTGTGTGACCTCAGAAGCATCTTACTATCATTAAGTTCTGAAGATGCTGCGAAAAGGATTGCTTAGAACTCCGTTGTTGATGATGTTAAACTTTATCTTCTTAATGCTTTCATTTTTTATGATGGGTAGAGATGATGATCTTTCCAGTTTATAATCTATAGAGCCCGGTTGTTTAGAGATGCATAATTGGTTATTTCTAACAATTTTATACTTCCCACAAGTTTCTGAATATTTCTGATGTTAAATTAAAGAACTTATGTTGTGGTAGCTTGCAGTTAAAGCTAGAAACTCCAACTGATTCTCTATCTCTCTCTTCCAATATTGATTGGATTACAAAACGAATGTGGCACAAGCCATTCCAGCATTTCTTACTATTCTGCTCTGTATATTACTGAGTTGATCATATCGATTGGCGTTCCAGTCATTGTTGTTTGATTTCTTTGTATCTGATTGTTCTTTTAGGTTTCTAGTATTGGTGGAAAGAAGAATCCATTCATTTCATGATATAGGTGACTATGAAGGTTTTAGTCATCGTTGTTTGATTTCTTTGTATCTGATTGATCTTTTAGGTTTATAGTATTGTTGGAAAGAACCCATTCACGTCATTATATAGGTGACTATGAAGCACCAACATTTTCATAACGTTAGTGTCGAACGTGGGTACGGTCGACACAATTTTCTTCTCATTTTTTGATAATTGGATACTTGGGATGGCGTAGGGATGCTAAGATTTTAACCCTAAGCTCTATAATGCACAGAAGCTTCTTGTCAAGATGTTGGCAAGCCACGACCAGACCGTGTTTCATGTTCATGCCCAGTGTTCTCTAAAGAGGAGGGTTTAGTGTTTGTTTTTTTATTAGTTCTAAGTCAAGCTGGCTGAATCACTTTTCAGAGGTAAAGCTTGAACACGAGATCTTGTTTAGGAGTATCAGACTTTCTACCACTAAATTCAATATACGATGATTATAGGTTGAAAGTATTTAGAAAGCAACTTTATACATTGTTAGAAGTAGACAAAAGTGTTCCAAGAAAGCAATATCACACAAATTCACAACAATATTTTAATTTTCAGCTTCTTGTCTTTGAAGTGATTTTTTTGGCCTTGTTCATTTGTTCCCTGCATTTCTCCCCCGGCACCAAGGCTTTGTCATTTAGCTGTGCAATGAACATCGAATTGCCATTCTTGTACGAACTATGCTCCGAAAGCCTTTCGAAGTAAGATATTTTCAGTCCCTTCTCCCTTGCAATATCTGCACGGACAGTGCTTGAACGATTTCCGGGTGCACCAGTAACTATCAGGATTGTACTCTCATCAGCCAAGTTTGCCAATGCCACCATCGTCTCAGGTTCGGTGGCTGAAGAAGCATCCACCATGAAGATATGGCTAAAATGTCCGGCAGGAATGCCTTCATTGTACAGGCGATAGCTACTCGTAAAAGTTGAAAATATTACTCGGAATTCCTTTAGTTTAGGGAGCGGAGGACAACTGAAACATTCAGCTTTTCTTTTGTATAGGCAGGATGAGAGGATATCGATAGGGACCTCCTCGATTTCCCTGAATGTAGCATTGGCTCTGAATATATCGGACTCTGGAGTTTCCATTTTCAAGCTTCTCGTCAGCACATCGCAGGTGCTATTTTTAGGTGCACAGACAAGGATCTTCGACTGTGGATTGCGTAGATAAATTTGCAGTACCGCTTCTATAACAACCAGTCCAGTTCTTGAAAGTTGCTTTGAAAAGGATTCAGAATGACCATTGTTCGTTGCACAGAGAGGGCCCTTTACTAAGTACGGAGGAGGGCCTCGAACATTCAAAATACGATGAACGGCGGACTTTTCATCCCGATCAAGATCTTGGTTGTAAAGGTTAAAACATTCTGAGATACGCATAGGATGTTGGGAGATAGAGTTAGGGAAAATGAACTTTCTGATTAAAGACGGGGACACGGCTGCTACTGCTTGGTGAGCCCTTTTCAAGCAGACTCTATTGAATGAGAATCGGATATTATATCTGCAGGTTGAAGCATGCTGATAATGGAACTCATCTCCGAATTCGACTAGGACGGTCGTGCTCTTATGCACCCTATATATAACTCCCTGAAACAACACGAGAGTGTAACAAAGGACTGAGGAAAGATTAAGATGTCACATGCATCGACGCATATCCGAGTCTAACACTCAAACCCGAATTATTATCTTAAATGCAGAGAGGAGGAGTCAACCTGAAATGGCTCGATTTCTTTGCCTAAACGTTTTGCAAAGACAAAGTCCCTCGACAGAATATATGGCCGCTGTGTCTTAGAAAGAGAATCCAGCTTAAATACTACAAAAGTTTTATCATCCATCTTATTATTTGCTTTTGAATGCTTATTTTGTCCAGACTTTTGATAGATTGATGCTGGTTGCAACTGCAAAGCTACATCCTCCAACCCGAAATCACTCCATTTCTGTTTAGGGGCGGAAATGAAGGTTACGACATTCACAATGATATATCAAATTACACAAATGGATAGAATCCGATTCCATTACCTCGATGTAGTAATCTTCGGCATACAGAAGAGCTGCAAAGTAATCCTTGTACGTTGAGGGAGACAATGGTTTTTTCAGAACGTCGGGTACAATGTCTCTCTTAATCAAGTCCTTGATGTCCTCTGGAATCATGTAAATAGGTAATTTATCCTTCGGATCGACCAACTTGTACATTCCTTTCCCGTGTTGTGTGGTCGAACTAGTAGGCAGAAAGGATAGTGTTGGCTTAAGGGACGGATTCAGGTTAGTAGATGAAGACGAAGGCTTCGGGGTCGGTACGGATGGAATCATGTAAATAGGTAATTTATCCTTCGGATCGACAACCTTGTACATTCTTTTCCCTTGTTGTGTGGTCGAACTAGAAGGCAGAGAGGATAGAGTTGGCTTAGGGGTTGGATTCGGCTTAGTAGATGAAGACGACGGTTCTGGAGTCGGTATGGATGGTTTAGATGGCATCCGATATTTAGGCGATGAAGGTGGTTCTTGGATCGTGAACGGTGAAGATGTTTTCATCGATGGAGGTGGAATCGGGGGCCGCCATAGAATCGGCTTAGCCAAGGACTGTGGTGGTTCGGTACCAATGTTGTAAACGCCAGAATTCCTGGAATTCTGAAGCCATTGATAAACACTTTCCACAGATGATCCTATCGAATCTCGTCGATTCGATTTTGACCCTATAATTACCTCATATTCAACAGGTACCTGACTCGGCCTAGACGGCCGAGTTGGTTCATTTCTAGCTGAGTGAACGAGCGATGAACTCGAGTAAAGCAGAGAGTGACTCAAAGTTCCGGCGGAGACATGCCTGAAGGAAGCTCGATCATCACCAATGCCAACGTCCTCGTCAGCACAACATAAGATGCACTTAAACACCTCAAGGAAACAAGACATTTTCTCCTGCAACAAAGCACATAAATTCATGTTATAAAAACCCTTCTAAAATATTATGTTAGGCTATGTTCCATGATCTTCAAAGTGTTCGAAGAAATGAACGACCAAAACATGTTTTTTTTTCTCTACTCAACACATCAAGACATCAAAGAGGACAAAAAATGGGAAAATCGTAAGAAAAAGAACCGAGAACAGCTGAATTTTACCCAGAATCTTAGTTTCTACTTTCTTGATGGATTCGAACGAGGAAAGTATTCGGTTCGCTATATTAGTAACATCAACTTTAACTAAAACCCAAAGAGAAAATCAAACCCAGATCCCATGATCCCTTTGATTTCTACTCTCCCATGAACAAACAAGCAGAAAACTTAAAGCTGAAGCAAACCCGAGACATTGAAAATGGAGATGAAACCAAAAACTTTGATTTTTGATCGCACAAAGGGAAAGCATTGACTAAAAGACAGAACAGTTACCTTTTTCTCTTTATTGTAAGCAAAAAAAAAAAAAAATTGCTTTGGAACTAAAGACTTGAAAGTAGGGTGTTCAAAACTTAGGTTAATCTATAAAATCGACCGAATGAATTTTTTTTTGTTAACCTGTCAGTTAATTTTAGGTTTCATCGGTTAACAGTTATTAATTTTTTTAAAAAGTTCGATTATCGGTTAATTCGATTCGAAATCAGTTAATTAATCGAATTAATTAAAAAAATTAAATATTTAATACATTATTTATATAATAATAGTTTTAGGTATGTTTAAATTTTGATTTTAACCGAATTAATCGATCGAATTAAACGAATTAACCGATCGAATTAACCAAATTAGCCAGAAATATTAAGTATATATTATTTAAAATTTTGGCTAATTTGATTAATTGGCCGATTAATTGAATTTTGTTCGATTCAATTAATTATTCTCGAAAAAATTTCGATTCGACGATTAAAATGAAAAAACAAATTAATTCAATTAATTAACCGAACCGACCAATTAAATACTTTACTTGAAAGAAAAAGAGTATATTGTTGTTTTTTAGGTAAAATATATAAACTTAGGGTATATCTTAATTAGACTGACTAAGAAAAGACCAACCTTTCACTGCATGAAACTTACTAATATTTTTTAAAAAAATCACCAAAATGTTTTTTAGAGTTCAAACGTTAAAAATAAGAACTTTTTAACCTAACGAATTGATCCGATATTTAAATAATGGATAAATTACATTATTTCTCATTAATTATACTCTCTCCTATGTTGCTAAACATATTTTCAATTTTTCTAATATACTTATTAGACTTTTGAATTGCACTCTGAATTATTTTATTATTATTATGGTATGTCATGACTTTATTATTATTATTTAATATAAAATAAAAACAGGTCAGACACTACCGTCAACCGTCGTAGATGATGTTCGTTCGATCCCAAATTTCATGGCTCGATTCGTCTTCACCCTCTGAGTCCGAATCTGGTGGTTATTTCACCAGAAAATACCCAAAACCCATGAATCTCGACTGAAACGTTTCGACTTCCTCACTTTTGATCTCTAATTCATGGACTTCAAAGCAATTTCCAACAAAATGGAGGTCGGATTTGGACTCACGGTGTCGAGGCGAAACGACCCATGAAATTCGGGATCGAACGACCACCATTTACTACTGCCAACGGTGGTGTCTGACCACCTTCTATTTCTATTTTATATTTTAAATTATTTTATATTAAATAATAATAAAAGATATCACGTCATACAAAAATAATTATAAAATAATTCAGCATAATCAAAACATGAGCAATTCAAATGTTCGGTGAGTAAATTAGAAAATTTGAAGGTATGGTGAGTAAAATGGAAGAGAGAGTATACTTCAATGAGGATCTGTGTAATTTACCCTTAAATAATCACACATACTTTTTTCTACCATTTTGTACATAGGTTTGAATATACTATTATGGGTATAAGAGGAAAGAGTACAAGCAATCTCAGATTGCATTGATTTATCAAATGCTACACCTCTCTACCGAAAATGGCAAGTATTAAACCTGCCGACGGTACCTGATAAAAACTGCTCCACCATCACCTCCGGTGATCAATGTTTCCGAGTTCAAACTCCCTTCTTTCGTATTCGACAAGATGCTTAATGGTGCGACCCAAGAGCATCTCCCATTGCTTTTCTTATGTATTGTTGACAATAAAATTGAATCTCACCCAACTGTCAATCCGAATTTGTAGTTGTTGAGATATGTATAGTTGGAAGGTAGTTAGGGTTGTTAGCAAGTTAGTTCGAGTATTATGTATTTCTATATAAAGACTAGAGTGTTGATAGTTTTCATAATAAGATTGTTTTGCACTTCCCAGTATTCTCAATATGTTCATTCAACAGTAGTCTCCATCTGCAAAATATGAATCCAGCAAAAAAAAAAAAAAACATTATTAGTTTAAAAACCTAAAAAATCATTTATCGAAACAATACCCCAAACAAGATTTTTTTGGAAAAAAACTCTCAAAGATGACTTCGAGTTATGCAAAAAATAAGTCAAATCTCTCGTTTTACGAAAAGCGAGTTTCATGCATTTATTGTTGTCTTTATCGAAAATTAAATGAGTTTATCTGAAAAGTTGATGGGTGTCGCATCAAATAGAACGCGAGATCCATTAAACGCGTTTTGTAGGACGCGGGATAATTTTACGTAGGCAGCTTGAGGTATTTTTTTAACTAATGTTGTTTGGGGTATTATTTCAATAAACGAGTTTTGGGAGGGTTTTAAACTAATAATGCCAAAAAAAATTGTCACGAAAGACGGGTTTTCGTTAAACGTGAGATAGTTCGAGCAATAACATTTGAATTCCAAGACTTCGACAAGTTCCTCTTGGTAGAAGTAGAGTGCAATAGAGAAGTGAATTAACTATTTTGCAGGGTAAAAGTAAGCTTAGAAGAAGCATTGCCATCAAATAATGTCCTTCATTCCAATGACTTGGTCCGCCACTTCCGTGTTTTTGAAATGGCATTAAGTCAGACAAGGAAGGACACCCTGAATCTCAAAACTTAGCAACCTTGCTCAGTGATTGGTTAGGGATCTAAATGACGATCACGCCATTATAACAGGTTTAGAAACATATTTGGCAGTCGAAAACAGCACCCGCTGATAAATACTGAAAAACCAATTATAAAGGATGATGCCTTAATGGCCAAACGACAAAAAACGTTAGTCATTTGATCTCGTTGGATTTGGTTTCTGAGTTGGAATATCACATTGAGAGAAAAAATAATACGAGGATCACATTGAATTTTTTTTTCCAGAAGTACAGTGACCTTTAGTGCCTTTTTGCCAAATATAAACTAGTTTAAGAGTGACTGACCTTATAATCAAAGTTGAACATGCCATGTGACATATGGGGCTGATTGTGAGCTGGAACAAAATAAAAAAAAGGGTTGTTGACTAGCTTATAAATGAAAAACCATTAGTTATGCCTGCAAATGAGAAAACCAAAGCTTGAAGAAGAAAAGAATATTTACCTGAGAATTAGCCTTCACAGTAAGATTATCAGTCAAATCCCATTTCACTCTTGCATTGAGTCTGCCATCAGTCAACCCTCCCGATAAGCATCAACTGTGGAAAACCATATTGATTTTACCATTAGATTAACTTAGTAAAATAAAAGAAATTAGGGGGGCAATAGGATGATAATGAAAAAGCAATATAATGGGTGAACCACCTACATTTGGGTCAATAAAATAACAGTAGGAATTTTAATGGTTTCTGCAGATTGGGAAAGGATTTCTGTTGGGCCCATAGACACACTGACTGATGATTGGGAATCAATAGATACTGTTATTAATCAATATAAAAACAGATCTTAGTGTTCATGAAGGAAAGCTTATTGGCTGCTCGCATAATCAAAGCTGTGTTGGAGTATGGGTTGTCGACATCTCGGTATTTCTCTGATTTCTACTTTTCGACATAATTAATTGGTCCATCTTTCTTTAACTGCAGTCATTACGTTAATTTTAATATTGAGTTTTGGTCACTGGCACAGCGCATAGAAGCATATGCAGTTGGTAATGCTAAACGTGTAAATGGTCATTCTGAACCTAAATCTCGTTCAGGTGGAAACCCCTCTGTATTGAATGAGAATACCGCAAAAGCTAGCTTGGGAAGATTACCTGTTTCACAAAATCCAGATCCTTTAGTGAAGGAAACAAAAACCCCTAGGACGGTTGTCCATTTCACAAAATTCAGATCCTGCTAAGGAGTCCAAAAGTACGTTATATTTTATTCTAAATATTCTGTGTATTTTGAATTCTACTCGACTTTCTGTTCCTTGCTATCAGTCGAAAAGGGCTTAGGAGAGACAAGTTAAACCCGTCACTTCTAAACATAACCATACAAACTTTCGACCAATAAAATAACAACAAAAAACGAAGACGATTGGATCGATGGATAGCATAAATGCGTAGATGTTTTCTTCTACTTATTTAGTGTCTTCAAAATCTTATGAAATATCTGGAAGTGCTAGTGGGAGGGAATACAACCTTTATCTGGTGATCTATCTTATTTTGGTTTTTACATACTGGTTACAGCCACAAGAAATGTACCTGGTACACCTCATCGGGTCAATTTAAACACTGCCAGAAGGACAACTCAACAGAGTTCGGTAACAGTTCCTAGTGTAGCAGCTCCAAAGCGGAGTTCTGCGAGAGCTAATTCAGCTATCAATGTTTCTATTTTTAGCAAGTCCGATGTTGTACCTGTGGTTGTGCCTAGAAATGATATAAGGGTGGAGCAGGCTGCTGAATTAAGAAAAGAAGTTGGAATATCTGAGAGAAGTTTGGAGCAGGTCACTGAATCTAAAAAAGAAGTTGGAATGACTGGTAGAAGTTTGGAATCGAGTCAGCCTGTTGCTGAATCAAGAAAAGAAGTTGGAATGGTTGGGAGAACTTCGGGGCAGGGCGCTGATTCCAGAAAAGAACTTGGTATTGTTGGAAGAACAATGCCATTTTCTTTGCACTCAAAGAAGTCCAGTTTTCGGAAGTTTCAAAACAGCAGGGAAGACATGGACCAGCCTGTTATCTCTGCTCTGCCTGAGACTGCAGGTTCCAAGGCTGCTGAATTCAGCAGTGCTCTGGAGAGGACTACTTTTCTCTCTGTTAAAGGCTCAATTCATGGAATGTCTGCGGCAGAAATGAATGCGAGGGAAGATGGGTGCATTGGCTTTGGCAAGAGTGAACCAAACTCAGTGTTGGAATTGCCTTCAAGCTACCGGGATGAAAATTGTATATTTTCGGAACTTTGACATTCTGCTTTCATATTTTAGCTGCTTCCCCCCCCCCCTCCCCCCAAACAACAATCTTATTTTCTTGAACTCCACTTTTGTCATTAGTCCTGGTTTAGATTATGACGAAATGTTTCTATTGAAAATGCTTTTAGCCAATGACTGTTTGAT